CTCTCCGGCAGCCTCGTGGATTTTTCTGGCTGTCCAGGTCCTCCCGGATGGCCCTGCTATTGACGTACAGCTGACCTCTTCTGCAAATCCCCTACTGACCCCTGCGCCAGAGATGGCCATTTGCCTCTGTAACCCTCATGCTCTGTCATTAGGCCTCCCTCTGTCTCCTCCCAGCTCTTCACTGCAACACATCCAGACAATTCTTCAAACCCACCTCCTCCAGGAAGCCCTCACACACTGCTACCACTCTCATTAATTTTTTTTTCTGAACATCCACAACCACCTAGACTCTTCTACACTCTTCTTCTCTATTTCCTTAATGCCTTCTTCCTATCTCTTTCTTTCCCTCATCCTTCCCTCCCTCATCCTACCCTACCATCCTCCCATCCCTCATCCCTTCCTTCCTTCCCCATCTCCCTCCACCTCCCTTTCTTCTTTCCAAATAAGAACTAGTGGATTCATCCTCTTTTTGAAAAAAGTCTGTTCTAATCTTTTGCCCATTTGAAAAATTGAGTAGTTAGGCTCCCTCCCCCTTGGGTGTTGAATAGTTACTTCTTCAACACCAGTGGCTAGACGATCTAACTCTGTCTCCATGCCTTTCAAAAATAAAATGAAGGTAAATTTAAAACATTTAAACATTTAACAAGCACTTATAAAGATGAAATTGTATCTTTCTGGTGAATTCTCTTTGTCATTAGGAGAAGATCTCTTTTCTTGCCAATGATGCCCCTTTCCTTACAGTCTCTGCCGTTGATATAGCAATCCCAGCTTTTCTCTTGGTTAGCATTTGCGGGGTGTATCTGATATATATTTTTTCATTCCTGTGCTTTGCTGTCTCTTTATTTTTAAGATAAAATTTATGTAACTAATAATTCATCATTTAATTCATTTTAAATATACACAATTTTTAGTGTCGTCACAATATTTTATAATCACCAGCACTATTTGATTCTAGAACATTTCCATCATCCCAAAAGAAATCCTGAACCTTCCAACCCCCCCCCCCCCCCCCCCCCCCCGGTAAACAAATCTGTCTTCTCTCTCTGTGTCCCATTCTGGACATTTCATATCAATGGAATTATTCAACATGTGACCTTCACTGTCTGGCTTCTTTCAATTAGTGTAATATTTTCAAGATTTACCCATGCTGTAGGATGGATCTGTATTTCATTCTTTATGGCTAAATGATATTCCATAGAACGAATCTCCCACATTTGGTAGAATGACACTGTTCATTAGTTATGGATATTTTAGCTGTCTCCATTTTTTTGGCTATTATGAATAATGCTTCTATAAACATATGCTCATAGCATGTGTTCTGCATACATTTGTGCGTGGACAGATGTTTTCGATTCTCTTGGATACATGCCTAGGAATAGAATTTCTGGGTCATACGAACTATCTCTAACTTTTTGAGGAATTGGCAGCTGATTGCAAAGAGGCTGTATGGTTTTCATTGCCCCCAGTAAGATGAGAGTTCTAATTTTTTAATATCCTTACTGAAGCATTTTTTCTGTTTTTTTAAAGATTTATTTATTTGAAAGGCAGAATTACAGAAAGAGAGAGAGAGAGAGTGTCTTCCATCCACTGGTTCATTCCCCAAATGGCTGCAATGGCCAGGGCTGGGCTGATCTGAAACCAGGAGCCAGGAACAGGGGCCCAAAGACTTGGGCCATCTTCTACTGCTTTCCCAGGCCATAGCAGGGAGCTGGATTGGAAGTGGAACCCATATGGGCTTATGGCACTGCAAACGGCGGCTTTACCCACTATGCCATAGCGCCAGCCCCTTCTGTTATTTTTAAAAATCTAGTGTAGCCTTCGTAATGGATGTAAAATGATTGCTTCTATGTCCTTTAATTAAAAAAATTATTTATTTTTAAGTCAGAGTTACAGAGAAGGAGAGACACACAGAGAGAAAGATCTTCCATCCACTGGTTCACTCCCCAGGTGGCCACAAAGGCCAGGGCTGAGCCAGGCTGAAGCCAGGAGCTTCATCTGAGTCTCCAACGTGGGTGGCAGAGAAACAAGCACTTGTACCATCTTCCACTGCATTTCCCAGGCTGTTAGCAGGGAGCTGGATGGGAAGTGGAGCAGCTGGGACATGAACCAGCTCCCATACTGGTTGCTGGTATTGTAGGTGGTGCCTTCACCCACTATGCCACAATGCTGGCCCCTCTGTTAATTTTTGAGTGCCACTTATAGATAGCGTAGAGTGGATCCTCATCCCCCTATGACAACATTTTGCTTTTACTTGATGCATTTAATCCATTTTCTTTCATGGTGATTATTGAATTAATCCAATTTATTTTATCATGTGATTTTGTGCTTTCTCTATGTCATACTATCAAAAAAAATTTATGTGTCTTTTGTATTAATAATACTTTTTTGTTTATTTCATTTACCCCCATCTATCAGTTTTGAAGTTATATACAGTATGTCATTTTTAAAATGAATTTAAAACTTTTTCTTTTTTATTTATTTGAAAGGCAGAGAGATAGAGGGAGAGAGACAGAGACAGAGAGAGCTCTTCCATTCTCTGGTTCACTCACCAATATCCACAACAGCCAGGGCTGGCTCAGGCCAAACCCAGGAGCCAGGACTCCATCTGGGTCTTCTACCTGAGTGGCAGGGATCCAGGCACTTAGGACATCACCTGCCGCCTTCCAGAGTGCACACGAGTAAGGACCTGGAACTGGAAATAAGGTTGGGATGTGGGGACTCCAAACGCCATCTTAACTGTTCTGCTAAGTGTTGAGTGTTCACCCCTCTATTTTTTAAAATAGAAATTTTAACATGCATACATAACAATATCTCAGGTTATCTGTAGCTTATGCTTCCCCAACAAAGACTAAAGGGTCTTACCCTACTTACATTTGGTCCCTTTCTTCCCCATTTGTATGCTATTATTTCTAGCATTTGAGTTCTCTATGTATCATAAATGCCACAACCAGACATTGTTATTTTTGCTTCATGCAGTCGTTAAAAACATTTGCCGCAGAGTTACCAGTGTCCTTGCTTATCATCTCACTTCTCAGATTTCCATTCCAGGTCAATGTTGTTTTTCCTGCCTGAGTCAACTTCAAATTTCTTGTAGTGAACTTCTATTAATGGCTTTGTACTCATTCTTGAGGAAGACAATTTTGCTGGGCACGATTCCATATGGAAACTATTTTCTCAATACATTGACTAGCATGTTCCATTGTCTTCTTTTTTTTTTTTTTTATTTTTTATTTTTTGACAGGCAGAGTGGACAGTGAGAGAGAGAGACAGAGAGAAAGGTCTTCCTTTGCCGTTGGTTCACCCTCCAATGGCCACCGCGGCCGGCGCGCTGCGGCCGGCGCACCGCGCTGATCCGATGGCAGGAGCCAGGAGCCAGGTGCTTTTCCTGGTCTCCCATGGGGTGCAGGGCCCAAGCACCTGGGCCATCCTCCACTACACTCCCTGGCCACAGCAGAGAGCTGGCCTGGAAGAGGGGCAACCGGGACAGAATCCGGCGCCCCAACCGGGACTAGAACCCGGTGTGCCGGCGCCGCTAGGCGGAGGATTAGCCTAGTGAGCCGCGGAGCCGGCCTCCACTGTCTTCTGGTTTCTATTGTTGCTTTTGAGAAATCAGTCATTAATCTTGTGTTTCCCATATGGAGTATCTGTCTTCTCCCATTAGCTGCTTTTAAGATCCCTTTCTGTATTCTGTTTGGCAGATTTACTACCATACCCTGGGAGGTGATTCTTTGCATTTATCCTACTTGAGATTTCATCTCACTTCCCACCCTGTACTTTCAGACCAATTCACGCAGTACATAGTAAACACGTGCATTTACTGTGATGCTGATGGCTGGGAAACACAGAGAAGAGAAAATTTTCTTCAGCAGCCAGAGACGATCCCTGTGTGAAGTCTCTCAACCTTCCTTCTCTCTGCCTCTCAATTTGCCCCATGAGTACTAAGTTTGCAGATCACACCGTGATGAACTGCAGAGTTTTCTACTGATATTGAGTCTCTCAGCATGAAATTGTGTTACGTTTTTTAGAGAAAGAAAATAGCAACTTAGAGAAATGTGGGATTTAGTTTATGGAGATTTCAAAAATAAGCAGTTTCAAGTTTCTTTGGGATTCCTTCACTTTATGATAGGAGGATGTATCTAAGTTTTCATGTTTTTTTTTTTTTTTTTTTTTTATACTGTGTCCGTGTTAAGTGGACTGCCTGCTGTTGGAGGAGCCTTGGAGGCTTGAGATGGGTGCGGCCTGAGAGCTCTGCCTGGTTCTTCCAGGTTAAGGGTGTGCAAAGGTGACACCCTCAGGTTATGCGTGGTAAATCTCTCTCTTTTTATTTATTTATTTATTTTATTTATTCAGGGGGTAAGTAACACCGCAGGGCACGGCTGTGCAGAATTGATGGTATTTAGCTTCCAGTCTTTGGCTCCTCTGGACTCCCACTGGGTTGCCTAGGCTACTGAATTGTAGTGACTCAGTTCCTTAGCTCTCCCCCATTGATATGTAAATCCAGAGAGCAGGCCTGCTCTTTGTCTCTTGGGAATTCTTCTAGCCTCCCAGTCTTGTAACCTTTGCAAGGTTAGGGGGAAGAGAAACCCCGAAGCTTTTTTTTCCTTCTTTCCGGTAGTGAGTTTGCTGCACTTTCTGGCCCCCCTCTAGATTCTGACCCCCGTTTCCCCACCAATGTCTCGGGTTATTGAGCTCACCTCCCCTTCCAGCGCCGATGTGTGGACTCGGAGCCCTGAGCGTCCCAAGTCTCCCCGCTGTTGTCTGTGTGGCATGCACTCCCCTTGGAGCACTGGGGCTTCTGCGGCTCGGTCCCGCGACTTGGCTTCCGCGCGGTGGGCGACCTTGTTCTCCCAGTAGGTCCTCCGATTCACGATTCCCGTGCAATTTTTTCCTGGTTCTTTTTTCTGCGGCTACCGTAACTCCCCTTTTATTAAACTAAATTTTCCCAGACTATCGGTGCGCGCCCTCACTATTCCGCCATCTTGGCTCCGCCCCCCGTTTTCATGTTTAAGAGATCATAATTACTCATCTCATTCTCTAAATGGGAATAAATAAAGTAGCACGCTATTACTTTTAGTTATTCTTGACTCCTTAAATATTTGGCAATTTACAGAAGCGTTTTCACTCAGCTCTAAGCCAAGGTGGGGCAATGAGCATGAGAAGAGGAATAGAATCTACATGGTTTGTTGAGTGTAGGAGATTGGATGATCCCGCCTACAGCTCCTCCCAGGTGCTTGTCATACAGCTGGCTGGGACGGGCAACCTAGGCCAGGGGCGTGAAGAACAGCTGGGCCATTTCTAGCACCTGGTGAGTTAACCTAACAAGAGGCGTCAGGGCCTATGAGAATCAGTCACCGATACCCACATGCATAGCTCTAAGAAACCTGGTCCCAACATGCTGAAGTTCTGGCCTTCCTGAGATTGAAATGTGAAAACCGACTGTCAAGGAGGCCACAGTTTTCAAGGGAAAACCAGCAGGAGATGTCCTGCATTTCGCCTGAGTCTCTATGGAAGAAAGAACACTGAAACTAACACTGGGTAAGACACTTTGCTTTCCTGTGCAAGGGTGCTCTCCTCTGCACACAGCTGTAGGCGTTCTGACTACAGCTAAGCAACGTGTGTTAGCTCTTTGGTTGTCAAGTACTTTTTGATCTGTTGATCCAAAAATATGCTTTCTTCTATGGTAAAATGCTTCTATGAGAGCACTTCCCATTTTTTTGAAGTTTTGACTTCATTTTAAACTGAATACATTTCCATTCATTCATTCACTCATGAAATAACTTTTTAGGATTCAGCAGGTGCTAGCCATTGTGTTAGGTACTGCTGAGACATTGATGAATAAAATGGACACAATCCTTTCCCTTAGAGAATGTACACATATAAGCCTAGAATTCTATAATGATGAAATATTTAATTATTGATACACTTGTAATTAGAATTGATAAAACCTATGGAGGAAAATTATATAACATGTGGGGCTTATGCTGATCCGGGAAGTGGAGTGGAAAATGTATCCCAGAAAAATGACCTTAGGCTGGGAGTTGAACTGTCCGTTGGTGGGAGCCAAATGAACGACGAGGAAATCAGGGCTCTGAAGTGTGTCCAAGGGGGCATTCAAGGAACTGCAAGGACCACAGGGAAGGTCTTGTGAGAAAAGCTGGGGGTTAAGGGTTCAAGGCAGATATGCAGGCTTTGTCATCAGTTGATTACACAGATTTACTCTGGCTTTTGTGGAAACACCAGGAACATTGGTGGTATTATTTTTAATGCACAGAGGAACTTTAAGAATCTTCTTTGGGGGTAAGTCTTTGGTGTAGACGTTAACATTTGGTCTGGGATGTCTGCAGGTTCAAGTCCTGGCTCCATATCTAATTCCAGCTTTCTGTTATTGTGTGCTGTGGGAGGCAGCAGATGATGGTTCAAGTAGTTGGGTCCCTGCCACACACATGAGAGACCCAGGTTGAGTTCTAGGCTCCCAGCTTCAGCCTGGCCCAGCCCTGGCTCTTTCACGTGTTTGGGGAGTGAACCAACAGGTGGTGGTTCAGAGAGAGAGAGAGAGAGAGTATGTGTGTGTGTGTGTGTGTCTTTTTCTGTCTCTGTCTCCCTGCCTTTCAAATGATAATAGAGTCCTTGATCTTAAGATAGAAAAATTACATATATTAAAAATAATTATATTAAAAAAGAATTCTCTTTTGGCATGTCCCTCATTCTCAATGCCTTTCACACACTTAGGGAGAGACTTGGAAGCAGACCTCTTCTCCCTTCTTCCTGGGCGTGCTCCCTCAGTGTTCCCAGTATCCACCTGCAGTGGTGTGGCATTCTGTCTCAGCTCTTCATGATCAGCATTTATGGAGACTTTCTGGCTGCTGAAATTCCTCTCAGTTTGCTCAAGGTTGGGAGAGAAAGTACCTATCAAGTTCAGCAAGCAAAAGGAGAGAAATTGCAAACATGTGACTGTTTGTGTTTGTTAGATGTATTCTGTGAGGAAAAGAAATGTAGGTATTCCAACTATAAGCAAATGGGTAGATGAGGGTCCACATCTACAGAAGGGAAACTTAGGAAAAGAGATTTTGAGGAAACATGAGATCAAGGGAACACTTTGAGTCTAGGCTGCCTTTTAGATGGTTCAAAGACGTTGACCAGGAGCAAGTATGCAGAGAACTAGCTCCTGAGAGTCAACTGGTACATTTTCAGAAATTTAAAATAATGTAGTCTTTATTAAAAATTCAATTATACAAATGCACAGTTAAACAAATTACAGTGAAAATAGCACTAAATACTCAAAACTCATCATCGCCTACATTTTATCCTTATCTGTGCTCTGGGGGCTATGTCTGTTGTACGGTGGATACAACAGTGGACAAAGGTGGGCTACCACAGCTCTTGCCTTCGTGCTGTCAGCTTGGTAGCTGCTGATTTGCCATGTTTAGAGTAAACTACAGAAATTGGCAAGTGCTATGAATCTACACCTTTTCCTCCCCCTCCAAGAGCCAGTAGTGGAGCATTTATCACCACATCACGTCCAAACTGCTGCTGGATACATGAGTTCAAGCTCACAAGAGTACAGAAAGTGGTAGCTTATGGGCTGGGGGCAGGGCCCCATACTTAGAAGGAAACCCCCTCCCTGACTCCAGCTTGGATTAAGGTTCTGCTGTTGCCATCTTTAAATTCTGAAGTGTTGAACAAGTGGCCCCATGTGTTCATTCTGGACTAGGCTGTAGAGGCAGTGGGGAGGTTTAGGCTGTTGAGAGTGAGCAGCTGGGTTTACTTAATCTATTGCCTTCCATTCCTTAGAGCAGGTCTTAAGTCTTCCTGAACCACTGGCAGCACATTTGCACCCACCCTTCAACCTGTGCTATGTCCCCACAGCAGGCTCACAACATTTGCCTCGGCTACTTCCTCTCTCTTTGAACTTCTTTTGGCAACTGCTAACTCTCAAGGAATTGAGATATTGCATGATTTTAACAAAACGTTTCTGCCCCAGAATGCAATGTCTCCCCCTCTCACCTCTTACACTGCTGTGACTTAGTGGTGGAGGTCATTCTGGAATCAGACATAAGTGGGTGTGAAGCCTTGTGTGTGCACCGGGATAAACGTCTCTGGTTTCTCTACCCTTCAGTTTCTTCATCTGAGGAAAGAAGAGTATTTGTCTTTCTTTGAAGGTGATTGTGCACATTAAATCAAATAATTATAAAGTGCGTAACATGGTGTCTGGTGTGTGATTATGTGCGCAGTTAATAAGTCACAATATGGGCACTGTGGCGTAGTGGGTAAAACTGCCGCCCGTGACACCAGCACCCATAAGGGTGCATGTTTGAGGTCTTGCTGCTCCACTTCCTATCCATCTCCCTGCCAGTGTGCCTGGGAAAGCAGCAGAAGGTGGCTCAAGTGCTTGGGCCCCTGCTCCTACACGGGAGACCTGGAAAAATCTCCTGACTCCTGGTTTCAGCCTGGTCCAACCCGAGCCATTGAGGCCATTTGTGGGAATGAACCATCAGATGGAAGTTCTGTTTCTCTCTGCCTCTTCTTCTCTGTGTAATTCTTTCAAATAAATGAATGTTTTTAAACAGTTGCCATTTTTATTTGCAGATTTAAAAAATTTTTAAAATTTTGTTACACAAGTTTCATGTATTTCATATATACAGATTTAGGAACGTAGTGACTCGTAGGTGTTGAATTAGAAACACTGAATAATGAAACTGGGACATCGTAGCAGACCCTAGGAGAAAGCAAGGGCATCTTGGCAGAGATGATATGTGAGAGAATCTTCCGGGTCCCACGGCGTGTGTGCACTGCACTGGATGGGACGAGGCCGCTCTGGGCTGAGATTCTTCAACATATCCCCAGTTCCACTCCCCACCACCCAGTCCGGTTTCATCGCGTGGCCTGCTCTGGCCATACACACCACACACAGCAGGGAGGAGGGCTAGCCTACAGCTCGCCCTATAGAAAGCCCTCGGAACACCGTGGGCCATCCCCGTGGCCCTGGTGCCCCGTCTCCCAGCACAGTACCTGGCGCACGGCAGGTGCCGGTAGTGTGTGTAGTGGCCGCAAAGCGACACCACCCCGTGGGCCTCCGGAACCCGTGCCGCCTGGCTGGTTCTTCGCCGCGCAGCCCGGAGCCAACCCGACCGGTCACCGGGCGTCCGGCGCGCGCCAGGCCGGGGTCGCGGACGCGCACTGCGGTTGCTATGGAAACGGCGGGACACCACAAGTCCCCAGGTCCCCAGCGCACGGGGCCCTCGGTGCCAACGGCAGCTCGACCGCCGACCTCGTCCAGCCAGTGCCCGGTCGTGGCCGGCATGAGCGCCCCAGCGCCGGTAGGTTCCCCGCGGGGTGCCCCTGGGAGCCCCACTGCCGGGCCGCCCGCCACCCCCTGGGCCGCAGCGCGCGGCTGTCTGCGGTGCTCAGCGGTGGCCACCGGGCCTGGCCACCCGGCGGCGCTGGTCACTGGGGAAGGGGGGGCCGGGGAGCTGGACCGGCGGGGCTTTGCGCTCTCTCGAGGAACTTCAGGAGTTTCTTCTTTAGCAGAGAAGAATTTGTGCAACTCCAGCCGGGGTCTGAGTTGCTGTAGTTTGAGGGTAAGCGGCCGAGAGTGAGGGGCGAGGGTGCTAGGAGAGCGAAACCTGAGCTGTTTGGAAAGAGCTGCAGGCCCAGTGTACGAAGTGAGAACTCGGGTGTGCCAGTATTTATCATCCGCGTGCGCTTCCCCCTCGCGCTCCCGTGCGGAGGTGGCGCACTTTGGGCCCGCCGGTAGCAGGTGGAACAGGTGTGGTGCGCGCACTGCGAGCGCTGATTGGCCGCGCGGGTCGCGGCGGCGAGAGACTTGAGCGTGCACTGGGTCCCACAGCCCGGAGTGCGTCTCGGCGGGGTGGACCGGGCACACGGCCGTTACTTCTGGATCACCTGTGGGGCTGCCGCCCTCCGGTCCCTTTCAGGAGGCGGCCCGCGCTGCGCGCTGTGCCGGGAGGCCGCTGGGGCGGCGTCCCGCGGGGAGGATGAGTGGCTCGGGCGCCAGGCCCAGCCACCTGTCGCAGCCAGTGGTGAAGAGCGTGCTGGTGTACCGCAACGGGGACCCCTTCTTCGCGGGTCGTCGCGTCGTCATCCACGAGAAGAAGGTGTCCAGCTTCGACGTGTTCCTGAAGGAGGTGACGGGCGGCGTTCAGGCGCCCTTTGGAGCCGTCAGGAACATCTACACCCCGCTCACCGGCCACCGCATCCGGAAGCTCGACCAGATCCAGAGCGGGGGCAACTACGTGGCCGGGGGCCAGGAAGCCTTCAAGAAGCTCAAGTGAGTCCCTGTCTCGGGGGCCACCCGGCGCGCGCCTGCGGTGGGGAGACGCGCGACCCCCGGCGCACCCGCTCCTCGGTGGGTCGCGGGGCTGCTGGTTTCTCAGCAATGCCTGGGGGCGGGGCGGGGGGGGGCGGCACACCTTCTGCTGGGACGTGGGTAGCCGTGGGCCCAGACAACGTGTATGTGCAAACAGCAGCACTCTTTCTAAACAGTATTCTTGCAAGGTTAGTGAACGGATACTGCTATATTTTCTGTTCGTCTCTCTCTTCCTCCCTCCCTCCCTCCCTCCCTTCCTTCCCTCCTTTTCTTGAAACTTATCCTTTCAATTTAAATTAAGATTTCTTAAAAAAAAACCCCACAAATATTGTATACTGTATTACTGGAGGAGAAAACTGCATTTTGCACCCACCACTTACGTACTTTCAACCTTTTCATTCCAAGTAACATTGACAGCCCTACTTTGAGACCCTCCTCCCCCTACCCGCATCTATGCTGTTAGCTGCTGCTTGGTGAAGCTCACTGGTTTACTGTATTGGTCTGCCTGTCTGTCTCCAGCACCTGAAGCGTAAGTCTTCAAGAACAGGGGCCCCTCATCCCCAGCTGCTGCCAGGAGCTCACTCAGAAGATGCTCAGTGAGTTTGCTAACTGTGCTGAGGTTTGCAGCCCAAACAAAAACGAACAAGCTGTGACTTCTTTAGTAGCTTCCGGTCTGACAGGAGAGAGACCACACACTCCCTCCCCCCCCAACAATTTTAATAGAAAATACAAAGGAATGAGTGCAATTAGAAAAAAAAAAGTTCTGTGGGAGTGTGGAGTTGGCGGAAGGAGCATTAAAGGACAGGTAGAATTCACGCTCTGTGGTGGACTTTTTAATTGCCCGTTTGAGATCTATTTTGCGTAACCCGTTGCAGGGGTTTTCATTCTGTTCACATTGTTGTACAAACATCACCACAAACTAATTGTAGACCATCTCCATCACTGTCAAAGAGAAACCTGTAACCCCCAGACTCCCCCTCTCCCAGTCTAGTAACCACTGATCTACTTTCTGTCTCTATGGATTTGTCTGTTCTGGACATTTCACGTAAACAAAATCAAACAAATAGGGCCTTTTGTGTCTGACTTATTTCACTTACCATGTTGTCCTCAAGGTTCATCCATGCTGGCGCCTACGGTAGCACTTCATTGTTGTTATCATTGAATATTCATATCCATGATATGAATATACCATGTTTTGCTCCTCCGTTGATCAGCTGATGAATATTTTTGTTGTTTCAGTTTGTGGCTATCGTGACTAATACTTCTATGGACATTTGTGTACAAGTGTTAATTCCTCTTTAGTATATACCCAGGAGTGAAATTGCTAGATCATATGGTCACTCTATATACATGCTGTATATAAAATGCTGTAATACAGCATTTTAATTTAATTGGAATTCATCTTAGATCTAAAAATAGTAAAAAGCATCTTCACCAAAAATCCATGCTGATGCAGTTTGCAACCATATAGAAGTACTTTTCCCAATGTCACCTAAGTTCTCTCATCGCAGCTTTCTTTTCCTAAGTTGGTTTAAATTCATTTCTAGGTGTTCCTACTTTTTCTATGCCACACCCTCTTTTTATAGCAGATGAAGGATATGTTGGATTTACTTTTCCCTTCCCTCTGTCCAACTTTATGAAAAGAGCTAAATTGAACTGTGCCCTAAAGAAACATAGAACTTAAAACCAGGACACTTGAGACAGCTGTTTATTAGCTTTGTGTTCTTGGGCAAGTCACTTGACTCAGCTAGTATAGAAAGGGAACATAACTCTTCCTCCTTCACAGGGGTACAGTAGCAAGCGCTACTGATATGGACCAAAGTGTCATTTATTTGTAAGGCATCTCTAGGTACAGTCACTCTCATTATATACTTTATTTCTATTAGATATTTTCTATATACAGCACTTTTATTGGAATGGACACCCCATTCAGAATCTATAACTACCTGAAAATAGCAGACTCACTTGAGTAATTCACATTCTCTTTTGTTTATGCATCATTACCAACTCAACATGGTTCCAAACCAAATAGAAAGTGCACTTCAAATTACTCTTCTTAAGTGTATAAGAGCTTTGTGTAATTGCTTTTGCTTTTAATTTACACACATACACACACCTGAATTTGTTTTAACAATCAACATTCAGAGTTAGATTTCCATGCTGACAGATGACAGTTTTATTTGTATTAAAGTAGCAGTATCTATGGTTATACTGATAGAAGTTAAGAAGATTTAAATGCTGAATATAAGCTTAGCACTGTAAGTTTATTCAACAAACGAAATAGCTGTCAGAACAAAGGAGAGCCCAAAGGGTATTAAGAATAATCCATGGGCTTTCATTGAGATGCTAAATGATATTGGAGAGGGTAGCAAAATACCTTTCAAATAGAAACAACCAAATTCATGCTTGAAATTCTTTCACTTACATCTTCTAACATTTTTTGAAACCATAACTAAACTTCAATACCAATTACATCTGTATGGCAGTGAATTCTAGAAATAATTTCTCCCCCAAACCTAGTCATCTTGCCTATGCATTTTTGGAGATGACTCTACTCCGTCAATTTTGTGAGTCTTAGGTCACTGTCGTGCACATGACAGAATGTTTCGCTGTTTCATTAGAAACAGTCCCTGCAGATTCACGGAGGACCCGTTTTATGGCTAAGACAGACAGAGTGTTTGCACTGTCTTATGGAACTACTGTTTCTATGGGAGAAATATATGATGATTTCCAGAAGTGTCAATTAACTAAAATATTCAAAACAAAAAAAGCAAGCATCACTAACAACAATAAAAGTATTCAGTAGCCAAAGTTAATTCCAATATAGACTTTTTTTTGTCAAGTTAGCAAATATAGCAGTTGAGTATTGATCTAACTATGGTTATAAATTAAATGCTAGATGTATACTTTTATAGTAAATGTTTACTATCTTTTATGTATGAAACACAGTTTAGGGACTGTTTGAAACTGCAACCACATTACAGAGATGGACTTATAACTTGAAGTTCACAGAGGTATATAGTTGTGCTTATGCGGCAGCTAAAGAATGGTCACTTAGTTAATATCTGTAGTGAATAGTAATGGAATAATAGGGGTCTCTGTGGGTTAACTAGTCCACTGGTCTGTCTGAATCAATATCTAAGCCATGCATGTGGCTAAGCATTTCTGTGTCACTGTTGTGTCTCAGAGAGAAGATGATTTACCAGCTTTCCCCCATTGTTGCTCAAATACATGTATTAATACTTCCAAAAATCTGTGATTAATTGGACTTTAAGCAGCTTTACACACAAATCACGTTTTATCAAATTCATATAAGAATTAAAAATATAGTACATATAGTGACTAGCTGACCATTAGGGGGAAAATATTTCCTAACAGAAGTAGGTATTCTTAAGATTTTAATTCTCTTGACGTATAGAAAAGACAAGTATCAGCTCTGATTGGCGGTGCTGAAGTGGTTCCCACTATTTTTTTTAAAAGGATTTAGTTATTTTTTGTGCAAGATGGTGTGTGTGTGTGTGTGTGTGTGAGAGAGAGAGAGAGAGAGAGAGGTGTGGGGGGGGAATGGTTTCCACTATTATAATGGCTTTTCATTAGTAATGGTTGATTTTTGCTTTAGGCTTAAGCATTTCTTATGACTTGTTTTATTTTTAAATAATTTTGAAAGAAATTTAAAAAACTGACCCAAACCCTGTAAAACCAGTTTATTGTTTGTTTTCTCCCCCCAGTTACTTGGACATAGGAGATAACAAGAAAAGGCCAATGGAAGTCGTTAACACAGAGGTAATGCAAATACGATGTTGAAAATTCCAGTATGTAACAGTGCCTTCTTTTTGTTTGTACCATGTGTCTTAGTGATTTGAGTGGTGTTCTAATTATCAGAGATGAGATAGCTCATGTGTATATAAATGGGACATTATGTCTTTTAAGACAAATATATTTTTTGAATCATTAGAAATGCAGAGACTGAGTAGGCACCCAAAGACATGCCCGATCCTTTTCTTCCCGTTTTGTGGCTTCCTGTTCTCTGATTGAAACCCACAAGAATTTCCTCTGGCATGTGAGAAGATTGGGAGCCCTGCTGGCTGAATCTTTACCAAAACCATGTCCCCAGTGCTCCCTGGCTTCTGACACCCAGTGTTTGAACCAGCCCCTGAGGCTTTGAGAGGAGAGCGGGTGCCACCGTGGGCTTGCTGTGGCGTCAGGACAACGTCCCTGTGCTAACCCGCGTGAAAGTCCCCTCAAGCAGTCAGGGAAGGCTCCCACGAGGACCGGAAGAGAACCTGGTGAGGTGAACCTGCAGAGCACACCTCCCACATGGGCTCAGGAACCCTAGTAGGATTTCCAGGTGTTCCGGAGGCCACAGTCGATCCTTGGTTTGTGGATGAGAAAGTGGATTCAAGATTGAGTTAAGGCAGCAGTCTTCAGTGTCCCAGAGACGCTGGGGAAGACTGTGGTTAAAGTCAGACTGGACTCGGTTCACCAGCCCAGACGGCCACTGTCCTTTTGAGCAGGCATGCAGTGGGGAAGCTCACCCATGAGGACATGATGGCAGAAGAGGGGCTTTTCTCACGGCTGGTGCATAGCCCCAGAGGGACTCCCTTCCCTCTCACCACTTCTCATTTCATGTTTATGCCCAACAGGACCAAATAGGTCTTTCTAGAAAAAAAAGTTGTACAATCAAACATTTGACTTTTGTATGTAGTATTTAAAGCATGTGAGATAAAATGCGTCGTCTAAATAATTCGGAGGAAAAGTGCTGTTCCCAGACATGGGTTAAAATAATATTTTTGCTTGTATTTTCGATGTTCAATGTGTGTTAAACTGTTGATTCATGAAAGCAATTGGCTGTATAGCTGAAAGGATACTAAGGCATATGGTTTTCCTGGTTGTGCTTATGTGACAAGCAGTGACCACTAGTTGATATCTGATGCAAGCAAATGAGGCACAGATCAGGGAATTTGTTCAGGATTTGGTTCTGTTTGAAGAATACACACCTCTTGGAGGTAGGCTAACTGGCACGAAATGGGTGCCAGAACTTGGATTTCTGCAACAGAAATTGAGATGTGTGAGTTCCTGAAAAATCATGAGCACAGTATATTTCCTCTGGATTCTGGTGTATTTGATGAAGCACCGTGCCTCAGGTGTGCAGTAAACTGACTGAAATTCCATTTCTCTTGAAAAAGTCTGCGAATTATGTTAATTTAATTTGCTAATTGTTATTCCACTTTAGAAACAGTGACCATTGTTTTCTTTCCCCCAACCCCTACTTTTTTTTTTGGGGGGGGAGTAAAGATTCATTTATTAGAGAAAGAGAGAGAGAGAGAGATCTTCCAGCCACTGGTTCACTACTTAAATGGCTGCAATGATTGGAGCTGGACTAGGCCCAAGCCAGAAGCCTGGAACTCCGTTGAGTTCTCCCACATGGGCAGGTGGCTAGGACCCAAGCGCTTGGGTCATCTTTAGTTGCCTTCTCAGGCTCATTAGTAGGAAGCTGAATCAGAAGCAGAGGACTTGGGCCCAGTGTTGTGGCATAACAGGTGAGCAGCCGCCTGCAACACCAGTATCCCATATGGGCGCTGGTTCCACTCCCAGCTGCTCCACTTCAGATCCAGCTCCCTGCTAATGGCCTGGGAAAGCAGTGGAGGATGGCCCAAGTGCTTGGGCCCTGCACCCATGTGGGAGACCTGGATAAAACTCCTGGCTTCACCCTGGCCCAGTCCTGGCTGTTGTGGCCATTTGGGGAGTGAATCAGTGGATGGAAGATCTTTGTCTATTTTACTCTCTCTCTGTGGAACTCTGCCTTTCAAATAAATAAAATAAATCTTAAAAAACAACCAAGCAGAAGCAGAGGACTTGAATCAGCACTGTAATATGGGATACCAGCTCTGACGGCAGTGGCTTAACCTGCTGTGCCACAAGGCCGGCCTCACACACATGAAATTCCCCATATCTCCAAAGGAAAGACTGCATCATTCCCACTCTGTTTCTCACCGGCAACGCTCCCGCTGCCCCTCTACTTCCCTCTCATTGCCCTGCTGTAGCCTTTGCTTTCTTCTCAGTCCTTCCCCACAGAGCTTTCCAGAGGGATGCAAAGAGAGCAAAGGAAGAAATGGAGGAATGTGAAGGAGATAGGAGAGGTTTGAGTACCCAGCTGCCCACACCCCCCTCTCTCTCTCTGGCCCCTGGAGTCCTCTCTCTCTGGCTGTGTCCTCCGGAGCCTACCCCAGGCCAGACAAGCAGTGCACTCAGCCCCCTCTCCCAGCACCAGCTGTGATCTCCGCCTCAGAGTACGTCTCAACAGCCACACTAGGGCCTTCATCCCAAACCTGTTTGGAGCCGAGGGATCCCCTACTTGCATGGCCAGGAGGGGAGTTTTTGTTTTTGCCTTTTTTTTTTTTTTTTTTTTTGCTTTCTTGCATTCTCCCCACCCCCCACAAAAAAAAAAAAAAAAAAAACAAAAAAGAACTCTGAAAGTGATTTCTCATAAATATCAGTTTGCTGTTGGTTCTCTGCTGTTATTTTAGGTAGAGCCACCCTGGGAGCCCAGCTGCTGTGTCTGAGTCTTTTTTTTCTTTTTGACAGGTAGAGTTAGACAGTGAAAGAGAGAGAGAGACTGAGAGAAAGGTCTTCCTTTTCTGTTGGTTCACCCCCCCAAATGGCTGCTACGGCCGGCACGCTGCGTCGATCTGAAGCCAGGAGCCGGGTGCTTCCTCCTGGTCTCCCATGTGGATGCAGGGCCCAAGCACTTGGGCCATCCTCCACTGCCTTCCTGGGCCACAGCAGAGAGCTGGACTGGAAGAGGAGCAACTGGGACAGGATCCAGCGCCCCAACCAGGACTAGAACCCTGGGTGCCGGTGCTGCAGGCAGAGGATTAGCCTAGTGAGCCACGGCGCCGGCCGCTGTGTCTGAGTCTTGCCTTGGGAACTGCCTCTTTCTTCCACACTTGCCTTCCAGTCAAACTTGTGGAATTCGACAAGCCAGTCTCAGCTGTGCTCAGTGACTGAGAACAGAGTCGGGAGCCACAGCACTGGTAGAGTCTGTTCTGTTGACCTAAGGTGGGGGTTTCCTTCCCTCCTCAGGCTTTCCTGGGGAGACTGCACACCTTGGGAAGTAGTGGTGGTGTTGGGAGCTTCTGGAGTCTGCCAGCACACGGGGAAAGCGTCAGAGAACTGATGTTGAAGTGGATTTAGAACATGAACATACAGAATGGGAGGGTTTGAAGTTGTTTCAAGGGGAAGTCTCAGTGCAGTAGTAGCACAAAAACATTTATTCTAAGATATGTCATTATGAAGGGTGAATCAAATGACTTATTCACCAAAACTGGGGGAATTTCCTTCAAATCTGAGACTGCTCCATATGGTTTGAGTTTTCAGTGGTGAGTTTGCATATTAAACGTCACCACACCAGTGTACGCGATTCAGTTTTCTCATTTGTTTAAAGCATATTCATTCTAATTAGCCCCAGTACGTTTTATGATAGATACCTCGCATTTTGCTGGGGGCTCTGCACAGGTGTAGCGTTGGGTCCGAGCCACCATAGCTGTGAAACCCCACCATGGAGTGTGGGGAGCTTCCACGCCTTCCCTTGCTCCAGACACCCTCACTCAGGCCCATGGTATGCTCTAGTGTTCCTTATGGGGCTAATCATTTAGACAGCTGGGGACCCACTTGCTGACTGCTGGTTGTGGCCGCTAGAATGTGCATGTGTCTCAACATCTGAAGTTCGTTGGAGGTTCATGTCATCACTTTTTGGTTCTGTGAGGTTAGTCCTTGAAGAGACATTGAAACAGAAACTGGCGGTACTCTGCTGCCTCTTTGTGGCCCCTCGTGGTGACAGATGAGGCGGGAAAGTAAAGGATCGGGCTGGCATTGTGGTATAGTGGGTAAAGCATGCGATTGTGAGGCTTTCATCCCATATGGGTGCTGGTCCGTGTTTCCACCACTTCGCTTCCGATCCAGCTTTCTGCTGATGTGCCTGGGAGGGCAGCAGAGGATGGCCCAGGTACTTGGGGCCCTGCACCCATGTGGGAGACTCAGAAGAAGCTTCTGGCTCCTGGCTTCGGCCTGACTCAGTCCTGGCTATTGTCGCCATTTTGGGAGTGAACCAGCAGATGGAAGATTCTCTCTAAAAAAGAAAGGAAAAGAAATGTAAAGGATCTCTTCTATTAACCCCATAGAAATACCTGGTTGTATTTGGCACAGGAAGAGAAACATGGGAGGGAGAAAAATAAATGTAGAGAAGAAGAAGGAAAGACGAATAAGAAGGATGAATGAAGAAGTGATTCTGCAGTGGTTGCACCTGGTTCTGAGTCAGGGCACTGTGCTGGCTCCGGGCAGAGTCTCCCAGCCTCCGCACACCGACCCTGCTTTTACCAATGCCTAGGTAAAGAGACTTCCCTGTACTCTCCCCCTGCTGTTCCCGTCGACCCTGCGTCCATGATGGCTTTAATGAAGACACTTTCCTCAGTTTCTAACCTTGGTAGCTTATCAGTTCTCTCTTGGCTCTCATCTCTCCCTCTTCTCTGTCCAGCTTCAGATCTCATCCCCAGTGCCGTGTTGCAGCATTGACTTAGCAGCCCCTTCTTTGCCTCCTTGCCTTGCGCCTCTCCTCATGCGGTGGAAGCTTCTGAGCCTGATACCTCACCACCCGCATTGCGATTCTTCCCCTTTGCTTGAGCAGAAAGTGAGTTTTGCTTCCTTTCTTCTTGCTTTCCTCCCTACCCACTTTGCTTCTCCGTGACTGAACACCTATACGGTACAGGAGAGTGGTCAGGGTCAGC